TGATAAAGAAAAAGTGTGTTCTGCTGATTGCATATAAGATTATGGTATTGTTTATGTCTTAACTCTATAGGTTGGTTTTGAAAATCTCGCTACGGTAAGCATGCGATAAATGATTTTATTCATGATAAACGAATTTAGTTACAACTAATAGCTCCATTAGTTTTTTTTTTATAATTTCTACTAACTTTTATTTCTATATCGGTGAGTAGTGTGATATTTTTACTGAATTAGTGTAGCTCATTCTTTCATTAACCATTTCAGATCAAGAGAACCAAGATCCAAAACCCGATCCACAAAAGAGTTGCGAGTAGGATGTCCAATTGTTTATTTTTCATTTATTTCCTTGATTTTTCGTTATTTCTTTTAAAATAGTTATTCTCATAACCCTATTGGGTAATCTAAATTATTATGTAAGGAATGTAAACTTTAACTATTTATTTTACTTCCGCACTATATTTATAATTTATCTCATTTGGAGTTCACGGACCATTACATAAATAATGCAACAGCCATACAAGCTCTCATCTACAAGTACCAAACACACCTTTCCTCATTTATCTTCTGAAAATTATTTAACTTGCAAATTAAAAATTTATCTTCTTAACTTAGTGTTACATAAAATATTATATAATTTATAACAAAAAAATTTATATTAAGTATAAGGGTATCAACTTTATCTATGTTTCTTTAAATATTATTTTGGTTGTTATGTTAGAAATTTTGTAAAATGAAAAAATCGTTTAATCTTTTTCATGTATTATAGTTTCAATGAAATTTAGAAATAGCAATTGATTATTAACCTCGGTAAGTCTAATAAAAATAATTAAGATTTTTTAATTAAAAAAATACAGATAATAGTAACATATATTAAAAAAGAAATAAGATACGTACAATAATTTTTTTTATTTATTAATATTTTGTATTAAATAGAAAATAATTTTTTAGTTAGTTCTTATATTACTTAAGTAATATAGAAGAATATATTTATTTCTAAAAAAAGTATTAAAAATTAATTTTATAATTTAAGTACTAATTTATATAATCTATAATCGGAAATTTAAATGAGGAATTTAGTAAAAGAATAACTTCAAAACAATAGAAGTAAATTTATTCCTTTCCACCGTACCCCTTGTTCTCACTTCTATTATACAATACCTTAAGACGGAAGATGTAGAAATAAAGAGAGAAAATATATCTTTTTTAGCACGCAAGTGAGTATACATACATGTTATATATATATATATATATGTATATATATATATTTATAGTAGTGTACCTAGAAAGAAGTTGACGGCTTGAGTGTAGGATCTGATTCGGGTGGATCCGAAATTGGGATCCGGGTAAATGGAACAGTCCGACAAGAGGAATGCAGAAACGAGAATGACAGCCGCAAAAACCAACAACAACGCCGGACCGGCGAGCCAACCCACCTGCGCTATGCACCATGCCAGAGACAGCACTCCTGCTCCTATCACCCCTGTTATTATATGTGCCGTTGCTGTCCATATTGTCCCTTCATTTTCTTTTTTATATAAATAAAGCAAAAATTTTACCATCTGGTTCAAACAAAAATAAAAATGGAACTCTAAAAATGGAGGAAAAGTCAACAATTGAAATGGTAAGAAAGTTTGTTGAACTCATCTGGAATTCACGAAAGATTTTAAAACAAAATATTAAATTTTGTAACTAAAGAAATATGATTCACTTTGATTGGAGTAAATCTTGCATGCACAAAGTTTTGGTTAATGTATATACATTCTTCATGTGTTTCACTAATTTATCTTTTGTTCAACTACGAAACAAAAAAAATGACAAATATTTTTTCTAATTTAAAAATATTCTTATCTCAATTTGGCACTTATAAGTCCTTGAACTGACCCAATTAAACATAGTAGGGTTATAATCAAGCCAATACAGCTAAATGTTCTAAGAATAATCCATTTTTTTGTCCAAGGAGCAATGTTGTTCTGCACCAAGTACATCTCCACTGGAAAATATATAGCTAGAGGCCAAAAGTTCAAAGCTCCTAGCACTCCCAAAACTTGGTTGAAGTAAGGGAAGATCATTGCAACTCCAGTTGTCGATGCAACGTAGATGGTCCGACAGCATAGATTGAAGAGGTTCATCTGAAAAGATGGTAACCCTGGGAGCTTGATGCTATAGAACTTGTTCACAAATCTGCTTTCTGGGAATTTCTTTACAGCCCATCTTTCTATTGATGCAAATACTGGCTGACTATAGATCTGCATAAACATAAATTAAAGAAGTTGATTAGGGATATTTCCAGCTTCTTTCTAGATTAAATTTCTTTCTCAGATGATTTAATAATTTATTCTTATCAAGGGAAAATTCACATATGTGGGTTAAATATATTATACATGATGTGAGAACTTGGTGTAATTAATTACTGGCATGGAAAAGAAAAATTATGAGGAATCTGGGATGTATTATACCTGATATCCTCCAATCAAATGAACAACAATGCATATATTAGCAAAGTCGACAAGCCAGTAAGGCTCGTAGAATCCGAATCCAGTCAAGATATTTCCAGGCGTAAGGCTGCCGAAAGCTGCATATCCAAAGCATCCGCAGCATAGGTAAAAGAAGGTGGTAATAAAGATTGCAAGCACTGAAGCCTTCTTCATGACTTTGTTTTCTGGTGGAGTAGATTTCAGAGTATCCTTCAATCAAGAAAATCAATCATTATATAATTTACTCTCAGGTTTTTCTGCTGCTTCCCAATGTTGCATTATGCTGTCCCTAATCAAATATATATATATATATATATCTATGTATGTTATAGTTAAAAAGATGGGAACCTATACCTGTATCTCTAGAAGAATAATTGAATATGGATAGGAAAAAGCAATATCTCCAAGTGCTTGGAATATTAACCATAATTTGTTTGCAGTAGAAGAAGCCGGAACTCCAGTTATGCTCCCCTTAATTCTTCCATTTACTGCATTTACAAACGTGAAATTTAGAAAGTAAAGAAACTAATAATACATGCAGATGATCTATAATTCAGATTATGGTTTAATGATCATTCGTTATATATATATATATAATATTTTAATATTTTCAAGGACATCTTTATATGTATATGTTAATAAAAGAATACGAATTGAAGTTCAGGTTAAAAGATTATGAGAAAAAACACAAAAAAGAAAGAAAATTATAAGAGAAACATACAGCTAATAGTTTTTATGAAGAATGACAAAAGTAAAGCAGTTTAAATGATCATATGGGCGTTAAGGCTATTTTAATAATTAGAACCCAAACATAATAACATGAGATTTTCAAAGCAACAAGCGAGAGTTTAATAGCAATGACTTTTCTTTAGTGTCAGACAGCTCGATTTGTTTCCTATCCATTATATCAGAATCAAAAATGTAATATTAAATATATATATATATATATATATATATACACACACGTAAAAGGATTTTTATATATGTATCTCTGGTGAAGGAAATCATGAGGGAGATGTTGAATGACAGACTGATACTTACTTATAGCTTGTGCCAAACTAAGTCCAAGTCCAATGGAGGAGTACGCAAAAGACATGATTGCTGCAATAGCTGATAGCCAGTGGATGTTATGGAAATCAGGAATCTGTGACATCACAACCTGAATAAGTCCAAACACCACCATATAAACGGTGCTTCCATAAACACATGGAGCCTGACGGCCTTCTCTGTGGTAGCAATTGGTCCTTTGAATTGCTCTGCAAATACCCAAACCAAAAAAAGAAACAACCATGTCAGAAAGCCTTCCTCGAATCAAACCAAAAATCAAAAAAGAAATTCAAAAAAGAAAGTTTGATAAGATTTCAGTGTGAGCTTTTTACAAACACACAGTTAATTTAATGTTAAATCAGGAGTAATGGTTTATAATAATATAAACAAAGAAACCAAAAATCATCATCTTCCATCTTCGAGTACCTCATACTGGTTGAAGTGGTGATAACGTAGGCTACACCAAAACCATACATGCTCAGATTCTGAAGGAACCCACAGAACCATTCCTGCTTTCTACCTGATAAACTATTAACCAATTAGGATTCAGAAAACCACACAAACCTAAATTTTAGGAAGAAGCGAAAGAAGATGAAGAAGAAGAAACTTCACTCTTAAGAAAGACCCTAACAGCTTGCATGTAAGAATAGTTTCGATCCCCAGTGACAGGGTCAGGAGACCTATAACAATCAGCAAGAAGAAAAGAAGAAACGTAGGTAACGATCGCAAAACAGAGAATAGCAACCGGCCCTCCGATCCAACCAAGATGCGCAGTACTCCACGCCAGCGACAGCACGCCGGAGCCGATAACGGCAGTGATTATATGAGCAATGCAACTCCATAAGGTTCCTGGTTGAGTCGATACATATTTTATGTTATATTTCTGTGTGTTTCAAATTCAACGGTGAAGGAAAGACAATAAACGCTGGAACAGAGTAGTACCCCAAACTAGGTTTAAGCGTATATGTAATAGTTACCTGTTCTGGCCGGATGGCTATCGTCATAGTACCCCAAACTAGGTTTAAGCGTATATGTAATACTTACCTGTTCTGGCCGGATGGCCATCGTCATCGTGATCTTGTGTATTCGCTAACTCAAGAGAACGCCGGATTGCCATGGTTACCTAAGTTAAGTCAGAGATAATCAATGCACTAAGACTAGACTTTTAACTTGAATGAGGAAGAAGAGTGAAGCACGGCTACTAGTGTGTGAATATATATATATATATATATATATATATATATACACACGTATTAGAAGAAAAG